GCCCAAGGTTGTCTAGGTAGAAAATGCTCAGAAGCAGTTCACCTTTCCCTTCTTATGAGGGCACCCTAGGGCCGTGCAGTTTGCCCCAAGGCCACCCAGGTTGGCTCAAGGCAAGCTGGAAAAAAAACGAGTAAGATTCTGGCTGTTAAAGACCTTGGCATGCAGGGTCTGCCTACCACTAGAGGGCAGCAAGTGACAGGGCCCATGATTCTAGGAAGTTTATAAAAGCCCTCCAGGCTCTTAAGTGTCTACATGACAGAAAGACCCAGAGGTGCAAACAAAGCTCTCCTATCTCAAAACTGACCAGTTATAAAACCAAAGAAAGCTAATTTGCCAAAGGCAAGCTTGTTGTAAGACAAAGAGCCAGCTGAGGGTGTGTGTCATTTCCAGATGCAGAATGTGCATCTCATGACTGCCCATGGAGCGGGCCTGATACCAATTCCACAGCTGCAAAGACGTTGCAGGCTTTCCCCACCCCCACCCCCTTGCACTTTTGTTATTGATCCAATTGATTCCATTGCCAGCAGGCCCAGGCTTTCCATGCTCTCTCAGGTTTGTTGTCTTTTTTTTTTTTGCCCTGTGACCCATTATGTTCATCCCAGCACTGTCTAGTCCCACACCCAGGGATTCCCCCTCCCATGACTAATGCGAAACAATTCTAAACCTGGAAGCCATACAGTCAGAGCACTAGACACAAAGTCCTGCCAGCCACTAGAAAGCTGGTCCTTCAGCAGCCCGTTGGGATGTACCCGGAAGAGGTGGTTTGGCCCCATGCGACCCTCTCATGAGAGAGTGTTGGGCCCGGTTCTCCTTGACATGAGGAGATGTTTCCTTAAGACCTCTCGCCCGTGGAATCTGTACTTTGGCTTCCGTAAGACTGGTCTCAGCGGGCAAAGGCTACCTACCGCCCAGGGTAGAGAGGTGGCAGCGAGTCACGTGGGCCAGTGTGTGCTGGTCCACTTGCCCCGGCTTCCAGGAATTGCCTGCGCATTTGGCACACTCCTGGGACACTCCGCTGTCATATTCTCCATTCCCTTTGTTTTGAACAGAAATGACCATTGAGGGACGAAACTTTGTAGACTCTCAGACTCCTGAAAAAAGGCCCTTCCAGGAGGCATCCTCTGGGAAGCAGCTGAGCAATGTCAAGGTACAAAAGCCCTCTTGCCTCTTGCCAGTTCAGGGGGGGTGCTTAACAGTGGGACGGGCAGTCAGAGGGGAGGGCCAAGGGGATTCTCTCTGGTTGGGAACGTTGCTTCTGGATTTCAGCTCTCAAGGAGCACAGCTGGCGAGAGATTCTGGCTACAGCCCCCAAAAGGTAACTCTTCCAGACTCTGCTCTGATGGCTCAGGCTTGGCACTCAGAACACCTGCAAGTATCTGCCAGAGTGTATGGCCAGTCCAGGCTAGATAAACTGTGAATGCCATGGCTTGGTAGAAGGAGCTTCGTAAGTCCAATGGCTGGTGCTTGACTGGGGCCCCTCGCAGAGTAGAGCAGGCATGTGGAACATTGGATCCTCCTGACCCATGGTGCTTGACTATATACCAAGTTGTAGTCCAAAAACCTCTAGAGGCCCAGAGGCTGCCTTTCACTGCATTACAAGAGAGAAAAAACAGGATATCATGTGATTCAGAACAACTGCATTCAAAACATCATCTTTTCTGCAGGAAAAAGTAGTAGTGTTTGCAGCTGTTTTTCAAGCCTTGTATCAGTTCTGGCTGTCCTGATAGGAAGCATCCCTCCCCTGCCCCTCTTCCTTGGTCCCTTCCCCAATGATGATGGTTGCAGGAAAGAGTCTGAGTATTTAGCAGTGGTGTGTTGTGGGGAGGTGTTGTCCCTTCTGTGTTAGCATGTGGCTTGGCTTCCATGTGGAAGTCATCGGACTCCATTGCTGAAGGGTTAAAAGAGTGTGGCTTGATTGCCTTTTGCTCTCAGCCTCTGGGAATGTATGGTCTGCCTTGTTCAGGGTGAGGCTATGAAGAGCTGGAGGAGCCCGTGTACCTTGGCGAAGCTCCACTTTGGGGATCTGTGGCTCCTTCCAGTGACCCTTCCTTGACCTGCTGTGTCAAAAGAGGTTGCTTTGCCACAGCAAGACCGCCTCCTCCATTACTGTTTTGATTCTTCAGGGGATGCTGTGGAGACGGATCAGAGACCGGAAGGGAAAGGTCCAGGGCAAGTCGGAGGCCACAGTGGAACTTGCTGTAAATGGTGACAGGTAAGGCTCTGAAGCCTGGTCGGAACCGAGGCCTCTAACGATTTCTCTATCCTTCCTCATTATTGACTCCATAATTGAAATGTACTGCTTGAGTTGCGGTAGCGCCATTCCTTCTCCTCCCTGTTAATATCTCACAAGGTTTCCATCCTGACTATAAGGATATAGACATACAGTTTCATCTTCTGTTTTCTTAAAGTTGTTCAGACTTTTCTTCATTTACGATAAAAGAGGGAAAGTGGGGGCATTTCAGAACTCGTTAAGCTGCAGCTGTCATCAGCCCTGCTCAACAGTGAGCTTCAGTTTAGTAATTTTGACTTCTAATTCAATTTCAAATTTAACTGGTCTAAAGTCCATTTATTTGCCTTCCTGGTGGTCCATAAAGCTTTCCACCAACACTGCATTTAGGATGAATCCATTTTTACCCCACCAATGTTCTTCATTGTCCAATTTTTACATCTGTACATGTGATCTATACATCACATCTGTATGGATGACCTTGGCCTTGGTCTCCAGTGACATATCTTTAGACCTGAGGATTGTTTCTACTGTAATTCCTTCATTGTTCCCCTTCTGAGTCGCAGTCTTCTTCTGATTTCTTGGCTATAGTCTCCACTTGGACTAACAATTAAACTTAGATACAGAAAAGCTTTAGCAGTTCAGATGTTTTCATTATCAAGATTAGAATTATGTAATTCTTTTGTAATCATGACTTTTGTCTCCTTAAGGCTCAGTTACAATGCTATTTTTGCACCCTTTCCTTTAAATTTCATCGGTAGTGATTTCAAGTTGTTGCTTTTTCTTGCAATATTCATCTGCAATGACATATCTGCATATTTTAAATTACTGATGTTTCTTCTGCCACTTTTCAGTCTTCATTCATCTAATTGGAACTTAGCTTTTCATATTATATGTTTGTCATATAAATTGAACTGATAAGGAGATAATAAAAATATTTTTGTCTTGACACATTTGCCAATGGCAAACCATTTTCTTTCTCCTTATTCTGTCCTAACATTAGCCTCTTGTCAAGAGTATATGTTACTCATCAAGACAATCAAATGTGGGATGGTAATATATTTCAGAAAAAACGTATAGCTTATAATGATCTACACATTTAAATCAGAACAAGGTAGATTTTCAATATTCACTGATTCCTCTTGAATTCCAAAAGGGCCATCTTCTGAGGTCCCATCCATTTCTGAGTTTGCCCTGTAGGAAGGTAACAGGACATGAGACAGAGGCTGTGAATACACTGACCAAAAATGCAGGGAATGCTAAGGATTTGGGACAGTTTGATTCACATTTTTGTATGTTGCCCACATGACATAAAGGCAAATGTGACTCAGCCCAGTTTTCCCACCACCACCCGTAGTTTTTTCCCCTCCACTGCTGGGGCTTATACTTTTTAGCACAGTGGAATTATTCACATTGGTTTGGACAATGTGATCGCTTGAACCAAGGCAGAAAAGTGAGTGTTATGGTTGATGTGAAGGCGTTGTGGCTGTGGGAAGGAAATACGGCCTTTGTTTTTAAACAACTTGGTGCCAGTGCTGTTGCACTAGGGCACCTAGACACCTTCCAAAAAAAGAGAAAGAAATAAAGAATGAGAGGAAGAAATTGCCACTCAGCCTTTGTTTATAGCATATGAAGTAGTTCTCCTGTAACTTTGCCTCTTGCAAGGTTATTTCAACAAGCTGCAAACAAGCCTGGTTTGCCAGTTTCTTCCTTCCTGTGTGACCGGTTAACATGAATAGACCTGGGGAAACCCAAATGCCCTGCAACTTCATATTTCCCTCACGTGTTAGAAGCTAAAGTAGAGGTAAGCCTTAGATAACATCTTGAGTCAGAGGCTGCTGCTAAGCTGCATGATCAGTCTGGAGATATTAAAACCTGGGAGATAGGAAGTTATGGGGACAAAGTTAAGAAATTGGATGTGGGGCAAACTTTTAAAGCAATAAAGGCAAAAAATGACAAGCCGCCTTTTGAAAATACATGGTAATGTTGCTGCTGGGCCTGTGCTAGATGGATTGCGATGTCCAAATGCTCTGTGTGCTCCTATACTATCCTGGCCCCTCTGTCCCTTTGTTAAGGGAGGCCCTGCCTGGCCCGACTGTCCTCCTGGACTTGGACAATGAGAAAGACATCTTGATCCGCCCACTTCACAGCAGCCTTCTGGGAGAGAGATATTGCTTTGAGGTAAGGACTTCTTGATGACCTTTGAACTAAGATGCCATCATTCCCCCCCCCCACACACACAGCAGACCTTTTAGAAACAGAGAGATGCTGGGGCTCAAGTCAGACTGAAAGCTACACTCCCTTAACCTCCAACAGTGTTCCTCCAACCCTGTTGGCAAAAGAATGGCTTCGGCACACCTTCAAGGGCTCTTCTCTCTTCTTCCTCAGCTGGTCCAAGATGTGTGTGTGGGGAACCCTGCTTCCCAGCCTTCCCACGTTGTCCTGAGGTTACAGTTCATTCATCTGCTCTTACCTTTGCTCATAAAGGTGTTCTGGTTACAGGAAGGGCTGTGAGAAGCTCTTCTATTGGGACCAGGCTTGTATGAAAGGAAGAAAGACTTCCTGCAAAAGAAGGGGAGGATCCCCTGAAAGACCTAGGGCTCAAGAGCAGAGGGAGTTGTCTGTCTTTCAAAATATTTTACTACACCTTTCACCTTAAAAAGAACCCAAAAGAGGCTTACATCAGTAGAAGAGAATATTTAAAAGCTATAAACAGGAAGTATATAAATAATACAAAAGAATCAAACAAATACCACACTAAAATGATACACAAAAAATCAACAACAAAAACAGATACAAAGCAAGAAGACACAACAGAACATCTTAAAAACCCTCTCAGACAGCCACTCCCTATGGGAAGGCCTGTCTTCGCCTGCTGGCAGAAGGGCAGCAAAGCTGGAGCCCGCCTGGCCCCCCATGGGAGGGAGTTCCACAGTTTGGGAGCAGCAACAGAGAAAGCCCTCTCCCGTTTACTCATCAAACATACCTGGGAAAGTTGGTGGGACCAAGAGAAAGACCTCCCCTGATGATCTTAGCACTTCAGCAGGCTCATAAAAAGAGATGCAGTCTTTGAGATGGCTTGGACCCAGACCGTTTAGGGCTTTAGAGTACAGTACAAAACCAGCACTTTGTATTGTGCCCTGAAATGGATCAGCAACCAGTGGGCCTGCTGTAACAGGGGGTTATGTGATCCCTTGTAACTGTTCTAGTTATAACACAGCAGCTGCAGCATGTTTGATCCACCGTAGTTTCCAAACACTTTCCAGGGGCAGACCCACACAGAGTGCATGACAGTAATCCAGCCAGGATGTAACTGAGGCATGTGCCGCCATGGCCAGGTCAGGCCTCATCAGGAACAAGCGCAGCCGGTGCGCTCGTTTGGTAATCCTTGGTAAGAGGAAGCCGTATAGCCATGTTGTTCTAGTTTATGACTGGGTCTCAACCCTTCCTCCTCCTTGTTGTCTCTCCTTTGTTTCTGTGGTCAAAGGACAAGGTCAGTCACAGCAAATGGCAGGACAGCACAAGGGCCATCCTGAGCTATGTTCTTCCCTCCCTCAGGTGTTGAGTGCTGGTGGACGGCGATGCTTCAGGTGTGCTTCTGCTGCTGAGAGGAGTCGCTGGATGGAAGACTGGCGCCGAGCTGTTCAGCCCAGTATGGTGAGAGCAGCAACGTTCAAGTCTGTAACTGAGGAGCTGCGGCCAGCAACCCTGACTGCCCTTTCACTCCTCCCACCAACCAAGTTCATTTTTATTTTGCCCCCTTTTCTGTTTCCTATATGATTCCACCTTCCCTGCCCTCTGCCCTCTACTCTGAGTTTGCACTCCTGTGAAGCATTCTTGCCGGAATATCTCAAGGGAGTTGATATCTGCTTAAAGGCAAAGGCCGGCCCTGAATTCCTTCCTGAAATCTCACCAGTTTGCCTGTTCCCTTTCTCCACTGGCATTTATGTTTTTGATCCTCCTTCTGCCTTGGCCTTTATCTTCTCTCTCTCACTCTCTCTCTTTTCCATTAACCTACACCCTGTCTCTCACAGCTGCTCCATTCTATGGCCTGATGGTCTCATGCCCCGCTCTTCCTTGCCTTGCCCGACATCCAATTTCCTAACCTTCTCCTCAGGACAATTGTGAACGGACCGAACGCATGCTGAGTCTTTGGGTGTACGAAGCCCGCGACCTGTCTCCCAGGAAGCGTTATTTCTGTGAACTGCAACTGGACGGGACCTTGTATGCTCGCACTACCTCTAAACCAGCCAGCCCCACAGGCACTATCTTCTGGGGAGAGCACTTTGACTTGAAGACTCTGCCCCCAGCCATGGAACTGCAGATCTGCTTGGTGCAGGAGGAGGATGGACAGCAGCAGCAGCAGCAGAAGCAGCTGCTGCCCAAGGGGGGCACTCCCGTGGCCATCCTGGCCCTCCTGCTAAAGGAGCTGGCTAATGTCCGCCAGCCCCTGGAGAAGTGGTATCCCTTGGGCAGGGACAAGCTGCACGCTCCCGCCCTCCGGCTACGAGGACGCTACTGCAACATCCACGTGCTGCCCATTGTCCGATACAAAGAGTTTGCTGAGTATCTCACCTTCCACTATCGGGAGCTGTGTGCTGGATTGGAGCCCAGCCTCAGTGCCAGGGACAAGGAGGAGCTGACCAGTGTCCTGGTGCGCGTGTTGCAAAGCACAGGCAAAGCCAAGGTAGAAACATTAGGCTGGGAAGGAGGGCCTGGGTTGTTGCTCACGGTGCACTTGCAACGTGCGGGTTGTCCCCTTGAACAGTTGCTCTCGTGTCGGTTCTGCTGCTTTCCTTCTAAGGTGTTTGGCCCTGCAGGAGGACCCTTCCAACTCTCAGAAAGCAGGCCAACGGAGAGACTAACTCTGTTTTGTCTGCCCTTGTCCACTGTGAATGTTGGAGGCCTGGATCACAATGGGGGCTCTCTGGGGTCAAACTAGATATTGAGGGAGGTTTGCAACCCCCACCCCATTGAGACATTTTCCCTCTCACAATGGGATTTTCTCGGAGATACATGCCTCAGCGATCAGAATTACAAAAATCTACTTTTCACTCTAAGTCCATGCTTATTAAGGGATGTGGTGGCGCTGTGGGCTAAACCGCAGAAGCCTGTGCTGCAGGGTCAGAAGACCAAGCAGTCGTAAGATCGAATCCATGGGACGGAGTGAGCGCCCGTCGCTTGTCCCAGCTCCCGCCAACCTAGTGGTTCGAAAGCATATAAATGCGAGTAGATAAATAGGGACCACCTCGGTGGGAAGGTAACAGTGTTCCGTGTCTAAGTCGCACTGGCCATGTGACCACGGAAGATTGTCTTTGGACAAAAACGCTGGCTCTATGGCTTGGAAACGGGGATGAGCACCGCCCCCTAGAGTCGAACATGACTGGACAAAAATGGTCAAGGGGAACCTTTACCTTTACCTTTACCCATGCTTATTATTCATAAAGCAAAGCATCTAATTGCACGATACAACAAAGAGGCATCTCTCGCCCGTGGAGGGAGCACCTCTCCCAGAAGTGTGCCAAGGGTATAATGTCACTGGACTCTCAAGTCAGGGCAGGGCTTCCTTCCCTGACTCTTCTTTTCCCCTCCCACCTTGCAGGACTTTCTCATTGACTTGGGAGTGGCAGAGCTGGACCGCTTTGATGAGCGGGAAGCATTGATCTTCCGCGAGAACACCCTTGCCACCAAGGCCATCGATGAATATATGAAGCTGGTAGGAGGGCCATACCTCCTGGCCACACTGGGTAAGCTGAGTGGCAGTCAACTGGTTGGGTCTCTGGGCCCGGTGTCTGCAGGAGGAACCCATTAGACTTTTTTTTCCCCCTGCCCCACTGCTTTGTTGTTGCTATGTTGCTGCCATAAAAAGTATCATGATCCCTGCAGCTGAAGGCCACTCCAGAGTCCACATCACTGACTTCATAAACTAACCGGTGCAGTCATGTGCTGATGGACATATTGATGACCAGAATGGCATCCTCCAGAGAAATCTTGATTTCTGAGAATGACAGTATTCATGGGCCCCCTCCTATCGTTTCCAGAATTCCCAGCCATCGTAGCTGATGGTGAGAGAGCATGGGGCAGGCAAAGTAGCCACACTAGAACTACTTTTTGGTATGACTTGCTCTTATAAACTACAGCCATAACCATAGAAAATGCATTTAATTTTCAGCAGAAAGAGCTGTAAGTGGGCACAGCACTTTTATTCTGGCCTAAATCTAACTCTGTAAGAACAGGTTTCCAAGGAAACTCTGATGATGTGTCTGGAGAAGTGGATTTTGATCCATAAAAGTTCACACAGAAACCAATGTCGATTCGAAAGGGTCAAAAATATTTTGTCCTCCACCCACCCTTTTCATTCCTTTCATTCACTCGAGTTTTACCCAGAAACCCGATGCCATAGTTTTAACTATTGCTGCGCAGGTCTTTCACATGTGGTTTTATTACTGAAGCTTCTTTGAGATACGGTCTCTTCGGTTAATTCCTTCCTGTTCGCTCCTAGTAACTGCCTCTTGTTTAGTCAGTGTCCTTCTGAGAAAGGAGGTCTTTAACTACTTTCTTCCTCTTTGCAATCAGTCCAGATGGCTGTGGCTTAAAAAAAGTTATCTTTTAAAGAACAATTGAGCAGTTGAACCTGAAGGTCCAGTTAAAACTGGGGATGGTCGAAGGGGTGTATTAAAAGTCGCAGTTTCTGTAAGCATGAGAACGCAGGCTAAATACTGACTCATCCTTCTTTAGTGGCAGGGTGCAGGCAGGGAAAGGTGTGAAGGCACTGATGCATCCATTGAAAAGGGGAAGGATGCCTCTGCCTCTCTGGCTTGGCAGCCCAGAGGCGTTGGAGAGCTGCCCTCAGCCACAGCTCTCCAAAGCAGAAGGGGTGGTGTTGAGGCAGCGATGGCGGCAGCAGCCACAGAAGGAAGACATGCATTTGCATAGCCAGCTTGTCCGCCACCTGAGAAAATGATCTAATGGCAAGCTGGCTCCATAGACAGATCCATGGGTTTTGGTGTAGTGTATCTAGAGCAGTGGTGTCGAACTGTGGCCCTCCAGATGTTCTTGGCCTTCAATTCCCAGAAATCCTGGCCAGCAGAGGTGGTGGTGAAGGCTTCTGGGAGTTGAAGTCCAAGAACATCTGGAGGGCCACAGTTCGACACCACTGCTCTAGATACACTACACCAAAACCCATGGATCTGTCTATGGAGCCAGCTTGCCATTAGATCATTTTCTCAGGTGGCGGACAAGCTGGCTATGCAAATGCATGTCTTCCTTCTGAGGGCCACAGTTCGACACCACTGATCTAGAGCATCTCCATGGAAGCCTCACAAGCCTCAACAGGATCTAGATGTGCTTCCTGCTGGAGACAGGGCCACGCTGAAAAGGCGCCTTTGATCTGACCCAGAATTGTGAGGACCACATTGCAGTCCACAAGTAGCTTGCTGGAGCTTGGCTGCAGCTCAAGCGCGTGGGGTTGTGTTGCAGGCGAGACCGTCGCTCGGCTGTGCCCTTCGGAGGACAGCTGCGAAGTGGATCCCAGCAAATGCGCACCGTGTGACCTAGAGAACAACCGCAGCAGCCTGCAGCGTCTCTGCGAAGAGGTCTTTCAAAAGATTGCGGACTCCACCCTGTGAGTGTATCGAGTGGGGGGCACTAGGCGATCTCTCCCCACTGGGTGTCTCTGTGCTTTCCCTCTGATGAGGAGAGCTGGGCTTTTCATTTCTGCACTGCTAGGCCAGGAAAATCCCACCCAGGAAAGAGCATTCCCTCCCTAACCCTAACCCTACAGCCGAAAGCAAAAGGCCAACAGCAGTGCTCCATCTGAGTATGGGCTCTCTCTCTGAGGCGTCAGGGCTTCAGCCTTAGGGGGCAACCAAAGTCTGCTTGCAGTCGGAAGCAAATGCCATCCCTATTGAGCTCAGCAATCGTGCCTCCCTTCATCACGTCTTCCTGCAGCACACCAGAAGAGGCGGCAACAGTGGTGGGGCTTCCAGAAGACTGGGCTCCTTTTGATGGACCACAGTTCTCGGGAGTCCTCAGAAACCAGGCACGATGGGAAGGACAGGCTTTGAGGTTTCCTCTGGCCTCGACTCTGAGGACCCCCTTGGGAACAGCATTCACAAACGCAGCTCAGCAGAGCCCTGGCCCCATGACTCTGGGAGGGCAGCTGCTGCCCCTGCTTTCTCTGGTTCTCCTTGCAGCACTCCTGGGAAGAGGTCGGGGGAGTGGAGGGCATTTATCTGCTGGCAGAGGCTTGGGTGTCAGAGACCGGGGCAGCTCATTTCCTTTCCCTTCACTAGCTGTGGGCAAGTCATTGCAGTGGACCGCCACAGTAGCCAGGAGGCCTTTTTTTTTTTGAGTCTGTTATTTTTCTGCTCCGATATGTTTGTGGCTTGATTTTGGATCACTCCCCAGCCCAATGCACCATGAAGCCTTTTTTTCAGGCCTGCTCTCTCATGTTCCTCGTCTTGTCTCTTTGCAGCTCCTTTCCAGCAGAGCTCAGTGAGGTCTTCGCTAATTGGCAGGAGGCGTGCCGGTTGCGGGGCAAGGCCAATATTGGCCAGCGGCTCATCTCGGCTTCCCTCTTCTTGCGCTTCCTCTGCCCGGCCATCATGTCCCCCAGCCTCTTTGGCCTCACCCAGGCATTCCCAGATGACACCACCTCCCGCACGCTCACCCTGGTGGCCAAAGTTATCCAGAATCTGGCCAACTTCACTACGTAAGTAATTGGGGTTCCTGGCTGTGCCCAGGAAAAGTGGCTTGAGGTGAGTCTTGGCTTTGCCTTGGGAAACTGTTGCAGGTGGTTCTTCAAGGAAACATGGCAGATTTGTATTCAGAATACTGGCATCAGTTGGTTTGCATAGGTTTCTCTGTATGCACAGAACACATGGCAGGTAAGGGTCATTATACTTTTCCTCAGAGGTTTATTCACTTCATTTAAAAGGCTTTTTTGGTCACTTTTTTAAAAAAAAACTTTTAAAATAAACAGAAACAAATATGTATTCGTTTCTTTGGCATAACAGAACTTGAATATACAGAACCATCTCACTCTACTCATGTTAGAAATATCAAACTAAGAACTTGGTTAATGTTTGTTGTGATGGGGGAGTTATTTGTAAGTGGGACAAGGCCTCTGTACTTTATCCCCTCTAACTATCAACTTCCCCTTTTGCAGGATGGAAATAGGGTCTGATTTTTGTTTGAGGTCCTCCATATGTTATTTTCAGCAATTATGAGGGTAGTGATAAAGAGGACAGTCATGATAAAAAGTTACTAATCCTATCCATTTGCCAGCAAAGCCAAGGATTTAGTGCACAGGTAACAAAACAGGAACAAGTGCTGTGCAGTATTCTTCACATTGGTCCTCAGAGCAGCTTTTCTATGGCTTTAAAATGGGATTAGAGACTAATTCACCCTGGCAGAGGGCCATCCATGACCATTTGGCATTTCATTCCCTTCAGAGGCTGGGCAAGCTGAGGGGGTGAGTAGGATTGCTTCTAGGCTGTCTGGGAGGTGGGGGGTTCCTTCTCTCCAAACAGAGGGAACAGAATGGTGGGTCAGATTAACTTTTGGCCTGATCCTTCTTAATAGCTCTTGTGCAGGGACCCATTCTTAGAGGTTGAGCACGTGCAAAACATCTCAGCACTTCTGTGACTCGAACACAGTGGAACTTCAACCCCTGGGCTGAAGTCGAGGGGTTGAAATTCCATTGTGATCCTTTTGCAATTTCAGGAAGTGGGCAGGATGAGCCCAGGTGTGCTCTGACAGAAGTGTTGCGGTTTCTGACAACAGTGTATGAACTAGTGTATGAACCACTCTAGGCTGAGTGGCCTGGGGTTGCAGCTTAAAAGCAGGGTGGTGAAGAGATTTGGTGGCCCTTACCTGGTGGTACCTCCTCCATCAACAAACTGCCCATCATGAGGGAAGACAACAGCTCTGGTTTTTCATAACAGCCACTGGTGCCGGATTGATTCTCTGGTGCTAATGGATTTGCCAGGGCAGGAAGATCAAAAGTTCTGGTACGCATGTAGGGCTTAGGGCTCTACAGAAATGGTGTAGTCCCCACCTTTGATCAGCAACCCTTGTGAACTCTGGTAGCTAGCACGTGATTCCCCAGTCCCCAGTGATACTGGACACGGTGACATTACCCTGGCATTTGGTTTCCTACAGGTTTGGAGAGAAGGAGGCCTACATGAGCTTCATGAATGAGTTTCTGGAGCGCAACTGGGGCACCATGAAGTCATTCCTCACCAGTGTCTCAAGCCCTGGCAGCGCCATCCATATGGCTGCCTACGAGGACTCCATTGACCTCGCCCTGGAACTGTCCATCCTGCACTCCTTGCTGTGTAACATTTTCTCTTCCCTGGAAGAGGTACAACTTCCGTCTGTCCATGTGTGTCACCCCCCGTTGATTTTCTGCCTTTCCCGTCTCGTATTCCCCCCAATCCCCCCAATGGCAAGACACCAGAGGGCTTTTTATGACTGGGATGCAATTTGAAGGAAGGGGGCCCGAGTAATCAGGGGGCTTGCCTGTTTCCAAGTCTAACCACAAGGTTCCTGGGAGCTGACTGGGATCCCATACATTTGGCTGCCTTGCAGCTCAGCTCAACAACTTCCACTGTTTCCTTCACAGCATCGGGTGCTGCTAACTCCTTGGCCAGTGCTGTTATTATTGAGTTCAGTCTGGAGGAGAAGAGTTCCCTTGGAGTGGGGCTTGGCAAAGGAAACAACATGGGGCCTGGTGGAGAACTAGGCAGACATGGGAGGGGGACGTTGGTTGTGTTGAGCAGGGCAGGGGTAAAAGCAGGTGGTTATTGGGTTTAGGGCTTAGAGCACTTTTTTTTTTTGCAATAATACTTATACTGTCGTTTGCTGATAATGGTTTCGCGAATTTGCACAAGGCAAGAGGCATTTTTAGAATGAGATGAGGGAAGTGCACACAAATGCGTCTGTCTGAACTGTAGCGGTAGTCAAACATAGTGGGTCAGGCTGTGAGTGGGAGCCTCTGCACCCACCGGCCAAAGGGGAAGCACACCTCCGAGGGCCAGCCTGGCCAGGGACACAGAGCCCATTTGCTGTCCCCCCCCCCCGCAACCAAAGAAGGAACTTTACATTGATTCTTTCTGCTCCATGCCCATAAGTGGACAAAGGAGAAACTGGAGCCTCTGCCCACCATCCTCCGCGCCATCCAAGAGGGAACGCCGGTACCTGTCTCTGTTCGACTTGAGCCAAACATAGAGGAGAGGTAAGGAGCAACTGCATCTGTGGTTCCAGTTTGTGCATAGGGACGAATGGTGGGGTGGGAGGCACCAGCATTTGGGAGGAGGAAGAAACTCAGCCTTCTAGAAAATGCAGCAGCTGGATTTGGATCACACTCGGGATTGAACTGGCCACCTTTCATTTCATTTCAAGCACACCTTCTTCCCAATGCAACCTTCAAAATGACTAAAATATACCGTATACGTACAGTGGTGCCTCGCTAGACAGTTACCCCACATGACAGTTTTTTCGCTAGACATTGACTTTTTGTGATTGCTATAGCGATGCGCAAAACAGTAATTCCTATGGGGGAATTTCGCTGGACAATGTTTGGTCCCTGCTTCACAAACCGTTTTTCGCTAGATGATTTTGACAGCTCCCTCCGCACTCGCAAAACGGGTGTTTTCAGGAGCTGACTGCTTTCCCTGTCCCACCCATCTTTGTGTTCCAGGCAGACAGAAAACCAGAAGCCAGGATTTGTGCCTCCCAGAGAGCTGGACAAACACAGCCCTCTCATCAAGAGTCAGTCCATGACCAGCATTCAAAAGGGCCGAGGCAAGGAAGAGCCACTGGCCCCTTTGCACCCAGTCAAAACCAGGAGCAAAGTGCATCGCACACAGAGCGTCCCAACACAGAGCAAGGCAGCCCGGCGTCTACAAAAGCAGAGGAGCACAGAACATGTCATGGACAGTAAGCCTGAACCAGGCACGTCCTTCCCAGATGGGGGTGACAGCAGGGCTTCCCAGGTAATTTGGGCCATAGGCTGGGCTCCCAACCCTTCAGTCATGGATTTAGATGCAAGCTTCAGTGCTCTGGACGGGGTGTAAGGCCCACAATCTGCTTGTATGGGCTCGTTACAGAATCCACTGGCCACAGTCTTCACTATAGCCACTCTGCCTCCTGATTTTTCTGAATGGGAGCATCCAGAGAGAGCATGCAGGGGGAAACTATGAGTTCTAGCTGGGATCTCTTCACCCTTCAACATGCCTTCGGCATCTGAGGCAGCATGTGCTACAGAGGTTCTATATAAAAAAATTGTGATAGGCTGCCATCATCTCCTATCTATTTCAGTAGCTTGACAAAGACTAAAGGTTGGGAAATTGGTATCACATCTCCCCTCTCAGTCACTTTCCAGACACTAGCTTGAATGGGGTTTTAGTTTATTTTAAAAAGGAAAAGTGAGAGGTTGGGGTGGAGGGTAATTTTTTTAAAAAAAGGAAAATAGTTCCAGATACCAAAGCAAATTGTGGTTACAGGATTAGAGCATACAAAAGAGAAACACACCAGAAAACAACAAAGACTAATTCACACTATCTATCTCACCTAACTAGAATGATGGAGTAAATCTAGGGTGACACCACCCTGTGTTCCCCACCACATGCCATATATGGCAGGTCTCTTTGTGAGTAACTCTAGCACTGCAAAATGAAACATGACCTCCCTAAAGCTCTACTGAGTTTCAAAAAGACTCAGATTCTCAATTCTCTTTTATGCAAATGAATGGACTATTAACACCTGGGCTGAACATCACATAATTACTCTTAAAGGGCTTTAATCATTCTTACATGCTTCCTTCCCAGCTTTAAAATCTGGATACCCTCTTGCAGAGAAGCACACCTAACTCATAGATATAAACAGTGAGTGTCTACTTTAATATATAAAGGTAAAGTTTTGAGGTGTTAGGTTCTGCTGTAAAGTCTTCCTGAGCTCAGTCCTTCTTTGAAGCGATACCCTCCCCACACACACAGAGCAATTCTGCCAGAGGGGATATGGAAGAGGTGTGAACAAGCCATCTCTGTGAAAGTTTATGTTCCTATAAAGGCACAGGCACACAGAAAAGTCCAGAAGATTAATTTCATTTTTCAGCTTCCCCCAAGGTTTTTAATCTCTTCACAGGGCTGTAGAGAGAGTGCAGTTTGAAGGCTGTTACATAATCATGGTGACGTCTTTTGCTTAGGATAGCACCGTGCTCTCTGCCTTGTTACTCCTTCTGTTGTTGTTGTTGGGTTGTTGTTGTTTTGGTACTGTCTCCAGCTCCGGCTGAGAACTGTCACTCAAGTCCACAAGGAAAGTAGATCACCATTCATTCATTCATTCATTCATTCTTGGGTTGTTGTTTTGGTATTGTCTCCAGCTCCGACTGAGAAGTGTCACTCAAGTCCACAAGGAAAGTAGAACACCATTCATTCATTCATTCATTCATTCATTCATTCATTCATTCATTCATTCATTCATTCATTCATTCATTCATGTTATTTACATGCCACCTTTCTCTCCATTGGGGACTTAAGGCAGCTTGTGAGCAATTAAAACTCTACAGTGATCACAATTTAAAACACCCTAAGAACCATGTTTTAAAAATGAAACATTTATCAACATTGAAACCACCCCTTAAAACATGAACATTTTAAAGCATTTTAAAATCTCTAAATTCAATAAATATAGCATTCCTGAAACCTCTCCCCCATTGCTTCAAAGCCTGACTGAAAAGAAAGGTATTTGCCTGACAAGAAGGAGGGGTCCAGCTTGGTAGGGGCTCTGAGTCTACAGGGATTCAGGCAGGAATCTTTTTTCAGTCTAGCTAGAGATGCCAGGGAGGAGGAGGGGTCCAGCTTGGTAGGAGCTCTGAGTCTACAGGAATTCGGGCAGGAATCTTTTTTTCAGTCTAGCTAGAGATGCCAGGGATTGAATCTGGAACCTTTGCATCTGTTTTCTGCACCCTAAGAAAGACCTGACACATCAAGCTATCCACTCTTCTTTTTCTGCCTCACAGGCATAAAACCAAGCTCCCTAGAAAGGTGTTCTCCTCGCCTTGTTGTGGCTGCCCAGCAGAGACATTCTGTTTTTTTCTTTTGTTGTATATTCAGCTACAGAAGAGGGTTGGGCTCGACCGGGTTCTGTTAAGCGCCTACCATCTCTGTGGTTGAAGGGCCTCCTCAGCTCTCCCCCAGTAAAGTTGCCTGTGTTTTAGGGATGTTCAAACCTCCGCCCGTTTGCATCATTGCCGCGGAAACCTACTGTGCCATGGCTACGACACTCTGAGGAGGAGGCGGTGACACAGAGTGGCCTGTATGCCATGCAACCACTGGAACAGGTAATGGAGAATTCCCTCCTGAGAAGGACCTGAATGGTCACCACTCCCACTGCATTTGTTGTGGAGACTTTAGAAGAGGCTAAGATCAAAATATGTTCATTAAGAGGTTAGTCCCTATGCCCATTTGCCCATGAAACAGAGGTACAGTTCTGTATTTTCCCCCCTCAGAGTGAATGAGGCCTATATGCTTGTTTAAAATGAAACTTTTATGAGGCAATAGTTCTAAGTGAACATTCAGATAGTCCCCCGACATCAAATTGTTTTTATTTTTCTAAAAGCTTATTGGGGTTTATTTCAATTTTGGAAAATGCCTCTCTATAGAGAACAATTCTGCTACTTCTATTCATATCCCTTTAAGAGTACACTTTCACAGCAGGGGGAAAAAGGGGGGGAAAGTGATCTGCTCTGAAGTTGTACCCAGGAACACGGGCTTCCCTAGGTAAATTCTCAGGGATAAATTTGTTTTAAGAGAGCAGAGGAAGTTGCCAGTCTGCACTTCTTAGCATCCTGTTAAAGCTTCTTTACTGCAGCTCTCCGGATTTGCAGAAGGCACAGCTATCACAGAGCTACCTTAACAAGATACAGACAAGGGCTGGCTGCCCATTTCCTCCTCTTGTTGACCCCCCCCCCCTTGATCTTCAGCTGCTCTAGCACACTAGTCTTGGTACAATACATTTTTTTTAAAAAAAAAAAATTGAGACAATGAGATGCTCAGTTGAGGGGAACAGATGGTCCCATGCGTGCCCCTTTGTTTCTCTCTCTCCACCTTAAACGCGGAAGCTGAGAGAGAGCCAGCTTCTGGTCACCCATTGCATCGACTCAAGTGATCACATTGTTGGAAGGAATGTGGAAGCCTCAGTGGCAGAAGAACAAAGTATGAAGAGGCTGATCCATACTGACTTGCATATCATGTAGTCTGTGGAAATCAATAAGAATCAGACTATCCCAATCCTGGAGCGTTTCCTACATCATTTGTTAATGTCATACCCTGCACAATATTTTATGAATATTTGATGGAATATATTGTGCGCCACCAAGTTGCTTATGGGGAATATTTCTCATTCCTGACCCTGAAATGTATTCACTGAGTTGAAAACTGGGTGCAACTCAGACTCCTCCTAGTGCAGGGATGGCGAACCTATGGCACGCGGGCCACAGCTGGCACGTGGAGCCCTTTCTTCTGGCACACAAGCCATAGGTCACTACTTCCCCCCACCCCCCCCCCCCCGCACAGCCAAACCTCATGAGGTGGCTGCAGCCAGGATTCCCCCTTCCACCGCCACTTCCAGGTCCGGGTTCATCGCCATGATTTCCCCTTAAACCGCTACTTCCGGTTCTGGTCTTCCGGGTCAGGCTATTGCGGCGGTGGCACGCCACTCACTGTTCGCCCCCCCCCCAAATTTGGGCATGCAAGCACAAAAAGGTTCGCCACCACTGTCCTAGTGGTTTATCCATGTGACAGAACAGGAGCTTTCTGAGAGACAAAAATGAGGACTTGGGGCAGAGCAAATAGTTATTGCTGAGTACAGCATGCATTGGTAGGAGGGTTCAGGGGGACTGAGGACAGGAACAGGTTCTCGAAGCACCAGAACCGGGCACCTTCCTCATTTGGAAGGAAAGGGACTCCAAGCAGGCCCTTCCTGGTGCCTCTCTAGGATTCTTACAGGGCAGCTGCTCCCCTTCTTCAGCTAGAGGTGCCTGTCCTGCCTCTTTGGCCTCTTTCCCTTTCCCAGCCTCTATGGAGGGCAACCCACACCAAGACTTCCCGGTTGCCAGTCAGTCCCCAGCGGCTCTAACCACCGACCTTGTTTGCTGCACAGTACGGGAGGCAAATGGAAGAGCTGCAGGCGGAGCTGACAACAACTAAGGAGAAGCAGACACTGTTTCAAGAAGAACTGGAGAAACTGAGGGCCCGGAATCAAATGCTCCTGGAAGAGCAGACCCGGTTTCATGAGCAAGGAGAGATGCTCTGCAAGAGGCTGGAGGAGGCAGAGAGCGGCCTTGTGCAGCTCAGCAGTAGGTAAGTGAGCCCAGGAGCTCCGGAAGCTGCTTTCTATGGTTCATTTCTCCCTGCTTTGGTGGGAAGAGTGTGGAGGGGTGAGCTCTGACATCTTGGAGCTCCTTCCATCTGGGTGCCGGAAGAGCAAGCCCCCCTCCTGCCTGAGTCAAGCCCAACCCTCATCCTTTTTATTGCATCCTTTAAAGTGGTCCCCAACCTTGGGCCTCGGAAGAGCAAGCACCACCCCCCTCTGCCTGAGTCAAGCCCAACCCTCATCTTTTTTTATTGCATCCTTTATATACCATAAATCCTTTGGAGGTCTTGCAGGGGGGTGGGCCAAGGCTGAGTGATGGTGACAGGCCAAAGGGGGGCCAGTAAATCAGTGGCAGGGAGTGTGTGTGCTGTGGGAACCCCTGAAACAAGATGTAAAGCAGGCTGGCTCCTCTTCCATTGCAGAGTCTCTGGTGCAGAGGCCAGCTGGAAGAAGGATCACGAGAAACTTCGCACCACCGAGGAGAAGGCCAATCGTCTGGTAAGGACCGTCTCGGCGGCTGTGGGGAGAAGAAGAAATGGGAAATGTTCGAGAGAGGCTTAGGACAGTAGAAGGGGGCACTCACAAGCCTACTTACAGCGGTTGTGCCTCATGTTGATGAATAAACCAAAGGGCAATCTGTTTCTCGCTTTTCTCACACTCAGAAACACATGCCCACACTCACACACAACCCCCACTTCACTCTGGTGAGAGGGGAGCCACTAGGCAAGCTGCAAAATGGCTACCGGGTGGTTTATACAGCATGCCACTGAGCAAGCCATTTCCCTACTGCTTGATTTTTTTGCAATGTACCATGCATGGTGCTTAAGCAACTAAACCTCTCATGTCGGTCTTTCAGGAGCGCCGCCTGTCTGGAATGGAGAAGGACTATGACCAACTTCTCCACGCTGTAAGCCACATGCTGGGACGTCGAGAGAAGCCGTTCAGTTTACTGCAGCATGAATTCTCAGAGCCTGTGTGGGTAAATAGGACTGAGAATGGGGAGGAAGCCTAGTCAAGTTTTCTTTAAATCTCCACATGGAAAGCAGGGGCATCTGTTCCGGGTCCTTGAGGATCTTTACAGGCAGGAAAGCCACCACTGTTTTTGGAGAAGCCTCCAATGATGCACGGAGTCTTCCACCATTCCTTAAGCTCTGCCTCTCCCCAGGGACTCTTCTGTGCACTGCTCTGATGGGTCTTTCAAGGGCGAACGCCACCGGGCTCTCCCTGCCATTCCCCTGTGCCTTAATTACTCCTGTGCTACACAGCCATTGCTGCTGCTTTCACCCCAGCTCTTCCTGAGACAGAGGGTGCAACCCCACTGGCCCTTTTGATGTGGACTGGGGTGGTCTAAATAAGGGTCATTTGGGGTCGAATGCCATGGTGCAGTCCTTACATCCAAATAGCACACTGACCTCAAGAAACCCTATTTCTGGTATCATGAAGTGGCTAAATAAGTGAGCCTCTTCAGGATATTGGCAAATTGAACACTTCCCCTGCTTCTCTTTTAAAAAAAAACCACAACCCAGTGCTCTGCAGAGGAGCAGAGGAAATGATTCCCCGTAAATCATTCCTGATGTGTTGAATCACTTAGATTAAACTGATTTTTTCCTTGCCTTATATGTAGTGCTGATGAAGAAACTGTCCACAGCCATGGTTTTAATTGGCACTTCACACAAAGGCAAAGGAAAAAAAATATTTTTGAACATTTACGTGGTTGTGTGCATCAGTTATGGCCTGGAACAGGCAAAAAAAAAAAAAAAAACAGCTGAGAGCAAGGTAAGTGTTCAATGTGCTGATATCCTATTTATTAAACCACAATAGCAGAAACAGAGTAGAAGGAGCCTGGGCAGCTTTGACAGCTGTACAACTTGATTTTGGTCTGTTCCCAGCAATTGCACATACTGGAGACAGACCACACTAGAGGGCACCAAACTGCATGGGGGGCGGGGAGTGTAAATCCCTGATGGGGCTCAAAAAGGCGTGGGTAGGCGCGGGCAAACTGGTCCACTCTAGTGATCAGATTGTCTGATCGGTGGGAAAAAGAGTGACGTAATCCGCTCCCGCAGCGCACCAAACCGTGGGACAAATGCCCATCTGATCAGGCCCTGGAGGCCAAACAAATTATTGAGGAGATTGTCTGTGCCTCACTATTAGTCCATTTTTCTTCTGGCCATGGGACGTCCTCCTAGAGGCACACCTCAGTCATCAGATTTGCCATTAAACCACTGTTTACTTTCTAAAGACCAATTAATTACAAGCTCAAGTGTGTTGCAGTATAACATACAGAAGGAAATCATATGCTAAGACAAACAAATGCACTGCTTCTAAGTATGTGGTAAACATCCATTTTGACCCTTTTTGTCTAATGGGTTCTCTGTTTCCATTGGCCAGCCCTATTCTGAGATCAATGGTTTCTCTAACTATTTCCCCAAATGTTCAGGATTTTTTCCCATTCATTGAACAGTGGCTCAAGCCACACCTAATATCTTTTTTCTCAAACCCAACCCAACCCAACCCAACCCAGAGGTCCCCAGTTACACTGAAAAGAGGTGTGTATGCATGAATGGGAATATAGGGGGAGGATGCGGAACACCTCTGTGCCTAGTGGGTATCTCGCTGCACATCCTCTGCTTCTGTGGTTCTCTCTCAGTGAGGGTCACTTCCTATCAGAGCCTCACAGGGTGGGCAGGAAGATGACCAGAAGATCTCTCTCTCTCTCTCTCTCTCTCTCTGTGTGTGTGTGTGAATCAGCTGTGAGCAGGGGGTAGAATCCCTACTCTTCACCGATGTCTTCTGTTGTGTTTCAGATGCCTTTTCTCTCTCCTGCTTAGTATTTCTAACCTGTGTCCCACCCTACAGTTTGGATCGCCACCCCAGAAAAATACCAGCTCCCATCCAGTGCCTGTCCAAAGTTATGCAGATGGAGAGTGGAGGTGCTAAATATATTAGGCTTCAAATTAATTTGCCACAGAGTGTAATGTTTTCTTAGTGCCTACGCATTTTAACTGTCAAAAAACAGAAAAAAGAATTTTAAAAAAAACTCCTCTCTGTGTTTCTTTGGTGGATGGGTGTGATTAAATAAATGGGGCCTTAGGGGAAAAACACCCCAGTGACAATAAAGCCCCTCTGTCAAGGGGTCATGGTAAGATTTGCAGAACAAGGGGCTGTTGGTCACAAATTGACTGCTAATGCAGTTTTAAGGTGGCCTTTGTCCAGCTTGGTCCGAGAGCTAGGAAAGAGGGAGTTATTGTAGGGGTGTTCAATTCACACTTTGCTGAAGCGTTGCTCATTATTCCATTTCCCACAAAATGTGTGTGCAACCTTTTTGCCACAGGCTCATTGGTCCTTCAAATGGAGTTGTCATGAAGGTCTTCTTTTTAAGTTCAGGAGCTCTTTCAAAAAAGCCCAGACCTGTGACCCAGGCCCAGCTGGAAAGCGTAATAATTGAGAAGGTACTGAAGAATCCAGTGTCTAAATGAGACCAAAGACCCCTCTCTGCTCCAGCATCTCCTTTGCACCGTGGCCAAGCAGGTGCCTCTAGGAAGTCTACCAGCAAAATTATGCCAAGCTTCCCAGCAGCTGACATATAAAGGCATCTCGCCTCTGGTCCTGGAGGGAGTTTGGATCCAGCATGCCTAGTAACTGCTCCATGAATTTGTCCAGTCCTCACTTAAAGGTGACCCTCTTTTTATGTCATCCTTTACCAAAATGATTTTCCCCCCAAACTTCATGGAGGTGCATGTGTGTTTCAGAGTGACCCTGTGTAAAGAGATGTCCATCTGTGGAAGACTGGGTTCTCTCCAATTCACATATATGCTGTTGACATCTGTAACGGGCCCTGACTGATTCAGGAAGGGCTTCGCCAAAGGATCTTGGGATTGTGGTGGAATAAATACTCTGCCGCCCAGAGTAGACCTTTGGTCTAGATGGGTGGGGCAGAAATATAAATAAAATAAAATAAAATAATGAAAACGTTGCTGTAAAAAGGGGGCAAAACTCCACACTGAACAATTAGAAAAGGAACTGGACTCAAATAACTCTGCCAACCTACTGCATATAAATCTGTGGTGCAAACCTCCTCGACATACTACATACAGAGCTGGTCAATGGACTTCAGCGGAAATACTGTCAAGCTAGGAAAGGTGCAGAAGAGAGCAACCCAAAGGGTCAACTTGCTGGAACGACTTCTCTGCCATGGAATACTGCAACATTTGGGACTGTTCAGCTCAGGACGGGGGGGGGACTTGAAGAGACAGGACTGAGGCAACTGCTGGGCAGCTGAGGGGTTTAGGTGGTTCTGGCTGCTGAGCCAGAGGCTGGGCCTCCTTAGCAGCCGTTGGACTCCATGATCCACAGGGTCTCTCCCAGCTCCGCAATTCTAAGATTAACAACAACAACAACAACAACTGTACAGCAGGCAAGGAAGGGCCTTTCCCAGAGACACCGGATAATGTCTGCCAACCAGAATGAGTATTAGGCATTGCCCACCAATATTCTGGCATATCTGTTGCAGTTAATGGGGAGGGGGGGAATAATATAGGGCATACAGGAGGAAGTTAAAATGCAGCCCAGAGGGAAGGAAAGGAAATGCTGTTTGAAAACCTAATATATTGCTGCACTGGGCATGTTTTGAAATCCCTTTGTCATCCAGACTAAAATTAATCTGTTTACATCATAAATCCTATTACTAGAGAACATATTTGCCATAGCAACGATCCCAATGCTGACTCAATTCAGTTTCTCTTTGGTCTCCTGGATTTCCTTCCCCTTTTCTCTGAGGCCCCCAGTAGCCCAACTGACAGTAGTTTTCTAAAGCAGGATATATGATACCCAGATA